TTTTTTTTTTTTTTGCTTCAGCCTCTAGTCCCCTTTAACAGCTGTTGTAGGTAGGCCCCATAAGGTTATACATGTTTTACGCCGTTACGTGTAGTTATTCAAGTCCTGTATACAATTCTCGAGTGTTTTTACTTCCTAGTCTGCTTTAAAGGAGCCGGATTTCGCTGTGATCTATTAAAGTGATCTTGAGCAATATAACTTAAGACTTGTTGATGTTTTTTATGCTTACTTGAACAGTTTGCTTTTTAAAAAATAATTCAATGCAGTGCCTTGACTTATCCATTTGTTTATTTATTGACTTATTTGCTTACCTACCTACAGTCTATTAATCTTTGAAGCTTAAAATGCTTACAGCAGGGTTGTGTTTAGACAAAGCTGACAACTTAGCCACTCCTTCCCCATTTTCTTTATAATTCTTACTTTCATTAACAGTTTGACTGCTGTTCATAGTTTTGGAGGCCTGGTATTTCTTTTGTTCTTCGTTTGTCTACTTTCCACATCATCGGGTAAAAGGCTTGAGCAGAAAACTTAGCAAAAAAATGTCAAAGTTTAAGCCAAATACCTCAGAGAGCTTCAGAAAACCTGAAGTACTATTGACCAAAGCAAGTAAAAAGAATAAAAGAAAGTTTGGCTCATTGCAAGCAAATTTAAGTAAATTAAACATGCTGTTCTTCATAATGTTAATCTTTGGGGGTGTAAGAAAATATCGATACACTGAAATATCGCGATATTTCATTTCCCGATACTGTATCGATTATTCTAAAGCCCTGTATCGATTTTTTTGTTAAGGTTTAAAATGTCAACTTTCCTGCCAATTTTTATGTTGTAGTTCAGTTTCTGACCACTAGTTGGCAGCAGTGAGCCAGCCATTTGGCTCCTCTACCTCTTTAGCCCCAGAGAGTAAGGGTAGCATTAGCATTGTAAGTAAACATTAGCTTTTCTTTTTTTTTCAGTAAGAGGTTTTTATTTAATATAATTTTTGGACAAATTAATCGCAATATACTGCCTTGCTTACAGTATCCCAATATATCGGGATATATTGTATCGTGACCCCTCTGTTATGATATGTATCGTATCGCCAAATTCTTGCCAATACACAGCCCTATTAATCTTTATTAGTTTTATTTCAGAACAACAATCCAATAAACAGATAATTTGAAGCAGTCAGTCATTGGGGTTTTCTGATTAGCTGTTTGATTCAGGCTAATTCTTTAAATTATAGAAAATTTTAAGAAAATAGGAGCAGTACATGTCTTTATTTCAGACTAAATGCAACATTAGAAACTTGTTCTAAACTAGTTGACTGTATAGAACTATTTTGGAGGCTTGTTGATAGCTATGGAAAAATTATTTTAATCTTAAATTCTCAGAAACAGCCTTGTTTGTTTGAGTCTGCAAGTCCTACCATATGTTTCAAAAGGTGCAAAGTTTGTGGACTTGGTAGGGAGAAGGTCGGTTAGAGCCGTAACCAGGATCTTTGTTTTGGCCTTCACAAATATCTCTCACTGTCCACTGCATTTGCAACACTGCAGTTACAATTTGAAGCTATTAAAACCATATTTGTATTTTTTACTTATCAAATAATTTATAAACTGCCGTTTTTAAATTCTGAAATTATTCTAAAAATACCGCACATATTGTGTACCCTCAGTGATACAAAACACTAGGAAAATTAAAAAAAAAACATAAATGATAGGAAAATGTACAGTATATTTTTTTCCCAATTCAAACATTCAATAGCCACTTTGTTTCCTCTTCATTTTTGTGTGTCGTTCAGCTGAAGGAGTTTCAGCAGAAGAGCTCCCCCGCTTCGATAGGAGGAGAGAAGGGTGGAGGAGGAAGTGGAGCAGGATCCAAGAAGAAGAGGAAAGTGAAGGAACTGAGCCAACCAGATGCACCTTCAACAGACAGAGATTCCCCAGATAACGTAAGTCATCCATACACACTTCAGTTATTTGGCCTTGGTGGTTGAAGGCATTTGTGTCTGCATTCTGGCTCAATCAAAAAAATAAAATAAAACAATTTAGGAATTTTGGGAGGTATGGGAGCTACACTTGATTAAAGAAACACAACATGCTCATCATTATTCTTTTATGCTTTATTTTACCAAGTTTCAATGTTTTGTAATAGTCTTATTGATAAATCCAATATTTTGGACAAAAAACTAAACACGTGACACATTTGTGCCTTTTCATCACAATGACGAATTATTTAGGGTCACAATGTGAAGTTAAAGCTGAAGTAGTCTCCTAATGCACAAGTATAATTATGTATAAATACACAGTCATGTTTTTTTTCCTTAGTTGGAAAAGGCTTTGTATGATCATTTGCATTTTAAGATTTTTTTACTGTAATTATTCAAATGAAAAGAAGTATACACATTCTTACAAATGATGAGTCATAGTTTCTTTTCTCTACTGATTTATATTTGACAATTTCTTTTGTGCTACTATGAGTTTGTAGAAAAAGTGGATTCTTTAGAGTGATTTTTGACGAAATAGTCTAATTTACCATCCAACCAGCCGTTGATCCATTTTTCTACACCCTTTTTCTTGCCGGCTCACAGGGAGCTGGTGCCTCTCTCCAGAGGTCATTGTGAGAGAGGCGGGGTACAGCCTGGACAAGCACAAGTCCATCACAGGGACACACAGAGACAAACAAACATTGAGAGTCTCACCTACAGCTAGGGGCAATTTAGCGTTGCCAATTACCCTTACATGCACTTGTGCACAGGGTGAACATACAAACCCCACCCAGAAAGGCTGCAGGCTCCTTCAGCCTTCTTATTGTGAGGTGACAGCTCTAACCATTGCACATAGCAAAAACTACAACTAACTTTTTTTAAAATCTTCAGTCATAATAAATTTGACATACTGTTAACAAAACCAATGATTTATTGTTCATGTTCATTTTTCTTTTTAGAAAATTATGGTGTAAAATGTGCAGAAAAACATGAGCTGCCAGTAACAAAGTCAAAAAACATGAGCTCCTTGGCTTTCTTATTTACTTTTTTTATTACTTGTCACAACTGTTACACATCAATCTCAAGAATAAGTGAATTGAGACACCAATGTGTACTTGTGTACCGCTGTTGAAGCACATGCACTTAACGTGGTTGTGCTTGATGACATTTGACCTGAATTTAGACCCATTCTTTTGACAGCTGTTGCTGTGCTTCTCACTGCTACAGTTATTGTGACTTCAGTCTGCAACAGAAATAAACTTGAGCATTACACTTTATTGGTTTTATCAGCTAAAAAAGACATTTGTAGGACACTGACACATACATTTGCTGCGCTTTCCGTCTCTGCTGCTAATTTGAAACTTTTCTCGCCCAAATTTTCTGTATATCCTGTTGCATGCTTTTTTCATTATTTTCTTCAGCCAGTCATATTAGTGACTTACTGTATTTTGCTTTATTGGTTAAATAAACAATGCTACCTCACTATAGTAGCATTTGGAAATATTGAGTAGGGCTGCTCAATATATCGCAATAAAGTTTATCGTCATCACCATAACTGCCTATGCAATAGGCATACTGCAAAAAACTGCATATAAATGGTTGGCTCAATCTGATAAACCAATGAACCACATCAAAATATAACCACTTAGTAGAGAAAATGTTGGACAACTGCAGTAAGAGAATGTGCAGTTGTATTTAGGTTAACTTTTATTTAAAGTTCTTAAAGACGTAAAATAATCCCTTAGTTCTTCAAGGGAAAAGGTTAACTACTTCAGCTTTTATTTCATTCAGCTTGTTTGTTTAATTTAATCATTGTGATTATGGCGGAAATGAACGTCCTAATGATGGTTTGGTCAGGGTTTATTTCCTGTAGTTCCTTTTTTTAACCCTCATCTTTTCTGCACACTCACTTTTAGACCTCGTTCTTGTAGAAGCTGCTTCTTTGTGCGTTTGTTTACCACTCTTTCATTAGGTAAATTGCTCCCTGCCCTGTTACTTCTCTCTCTTAGTCTCTGTTTTTTTTTGCTGTAGTTTGACAGTATTCTGAAAGCACTTAGTCAGAGCAATGGAGTAGTCTTCTCCCCTAATGGCAACTGTCAGGTGAGCTTCTCTCCCTTTTCTCCTGCAGTGCTAAAAACCTTTTCATTTCTTTTCAGCCTTGCTGTAAATGGAAATTCTTATTTCCATTGTTGTGCTGTTTCCATTTTCTTACATCCATTTATCAAATAATTTCCCTTTCATTTACATAAACCAAAAAGCTTGTGAAGAATTTAATTGCAAAATTTTAAAGCAGTTTCAAGAAACTTTTAAAATTATTCAAATATCTAGTGTTTGTTTCCGCAAGTAGGGCTGCCACAAACGATTATTTTAATAATCGATTAATCACCGATTATTTATTCGATTAGTCGACTAATCGGATCATACGTTAATTGAATATAAAACATTGAGCTTATCACGTCAGAATGCAGCTGCTGTTGTATAACTATCGTTAGATATTAGCTATATGCTAACTAAAAATAATTGCTGTTGAAGGCAAGTTCTGCTCTGCAGATATTGTACAGGTTTCTCTTTCATTTTCTTAAAATGATCCCACACTTTTGAGCTACTTTGCTGGGTAGCCATGATACCAGAGCCTGTCTGTATAATGTCTTGTGACGTCCACRGCCTACCCCAGTTAACACTACTGTGCATGTGTGTCAAGGACAGAAAGGCAGATGTGGCAGTGGAAGGTGTCAAAGCCGTTTGGAGAGAAAAACAAAGTAAATAACAACAAAAAAAAGAAAACGATTAATCGATTATTAAATTAGTCATCGATTATTTTAATAATCGATTAGTCGTCGATTAATCGATTAATCGTGGCAGCCCTAGCCACAAGCACTGCATATTTCGTGTGATTTTTTTTTTCTTTTTTCCCCAGAGATGCCTATCTCATGTTCATTATGAATGCTTGGAATTTGCACAGTCATGGATGCATACCTGTGTTGTGTGTTGCTAAAGACATCAGGCAGGCATTCAGGAAAAACAAGAATGTTTGTGCTTATTTTTCAGCTGGTTCCTTTTGTTTGCTGCTTTTTTAGTTTTAATTATCTGCATTGTAAAAAGTTACTTTGATTATTTTAAGCATTTTCTTCACATCTTCCTCAGCTCATTAAAGCTGTAACTTGTTAAGCTTGTGCAACATATTGGGACACCACTCGAACAACTATCCTATTGTAGTTGTCACTAAGAGTTACTTTTTTGTTTTATAAGCAATTTAACTCTTTTTTTTTTTTTTCAGGTTGCATATTTTTTCTCTTAATTAGCCACAAACTGTTACATAATTATCGAGACATAAGCTGTAAACTATGTTTATTTTACCACTCATTTTAAATAACATTTGTGCAAATAGCTATGTGTAGTTTGCAGATGGTGTTTCTGTTGCTGATAACTGCATTAAAACTGTGTGTGCATTTTTGTGTATGTGTTACCTCAGGCCTTGGCTGACATGGAAGCTGTGGGGTCTTCTGTTCCCCAGCTACAGGAGGAGCCGCACAGCGAGCCTGGCCGCAGCTCACCTGTGTCTAACCCCGCTAGTGCTAACACTGCTACTAACTCTGAGTTTGTCAGTCACAACACTGAGCCGCAGGTGTGTCTCCCTGTTTGTCTCTGCTTTTTAAAACATGTTTTATCTCTGTTTAATATTAATCCATCTAGCTAAAAAGTCAACATTGAGTGTAAACCTCTGTGTTCTCGGTAGGGAGGGTTAGAATTCTATAGAGATGGGTTTTGTTGTATTTTATACAGAAATATCGTGTCTGTCTGTGATGTCTTTTTTGCTCAAATGTCATTGAATCGTGTGTACTAACAAACATCTAGTGTTGTGTATTGATTGTACTCTTAACTTTTCTCCTTTTTTATACAGGACTGCTCTGATACCAATGGCAATGAGAGTTTAAAAGAGCAAAACAGGTGTGTTATTTTACTTCTTCTAAAACATATCATTTTTGACAGATTCTGTATTTTATCTATAGGAGCTGAGGGTTAATTAAAGTGCAGCAGCAAGCAGTATGTGTCAAGGATTTATGTTGTTATTGTTTTGATATTTGTTGCGTTGTTGTACTTTTTGCATATCCATGGAATTATCACAAGGTCCTATTTTTGATAACTGTTTTTTCTACCATATATCAAAAAATAAAAAAGAATATCTTTCACTTGACCTCAAGATGATACTGCTATTCAATTCAAACTTTATTGAAGACTCAGAATCCTGTCCTGGTCCATATTTCACTGTTTTGTATATGAAGCACAACTTTGTTTATGGTACACTGGATTGGAAAACCTATTAAGACTGCCTGGGCTTTATTTTAGGCTATTATTATCAATAAATTGTATGTGCAGCGGTATAGCAAACGTAATGCGTTTTGTCTCCTCTGTCCTTCAGACCGCTGTCTTCCACGGAGAGCCTGCGACAGATTTCCCAGCAGCTGAATGGTCTGGTCTCTGAGGTATGTTGTTAGACCCAACAGCATCATCCATTGCCTCTCTATCTCTGTCACAATCCTTTTTTGTCATACAATGTTGAGCTTTTAACAGCAACAACACACCACCACTGCTCACTGTCAAGCAGTGTGTGTTTCACCTATTGTTGGCAAGAATGCACTGAAAGCGTTTTCAGTATTGTTAGACCTGAAGCACACTGACACCATCATCTGGTACATAAAACCAGCCTGATAAACAATGTCTGCTCTGAACTTGGTTTGAATTTGCACATTTAGAAATGAACTACAAAGTGTGCTTTATGTTATTATCATTACTAAGGTAACATTTCAGCACATTAAGGTGAAATTCAGCTTTTACTGCTGCTGAAAGGTCTGCAATGCAATAAGTACATTTTCTTTTAGTTTCTAAAGGTCTAAGTTTTTTTTATCCAAGGTTGCCACTACAAGTCACACAGTGTTCACATGGTATATTTTTGAAATATTTAAAGCACCTGATTATATCTGCTTTAGAAGTGTATAAATCAGTCTGTGTCCTTCCAGTCATCTGCTGCATACGTGAATGGAGAAACTGCACCTTGTGTCAATGAGAAAGAACTTGAGGTAAAAACGCAAAGTTTTTTGTAATCATAATTTTTCTGTGACTTATTTCTGACACTTCAAACCTGTTTCAACTTCTAGAATAATGCAACGTCATGTTTCTCTGTAAAGTATCAGTGACCTACTTTGTGACATATTTAATTTCCAGTACAATGACACCTTCACATATGATATTGTTTATCATTATATGATACCGTCATTGTTAGGCCAGTATCTTTTATACTGTAGACTAGATTTACTCTGATATGTCTTTTTTTTTAAGAAATAAAATGCTTGTTTAATTGCTGAATTGTAGATGAGTTTACCAAAACTCAGGATGAAGGATTTTTTCTGATTAAAAATGGATTTCAAAAACTCTTAAATAATGAAGCTTAAGTAAAGTACAAGAAATATGCCTAAATAAAATAAAAAACATTAAATAATTTCCAACTGATAAAGTACCAAAAAATATATTTCTGTAACTATATTTTATTATGTTGCTGATTTTTTGACGCTCGATGTATTTTTAAAACATTTTTGCACATATAGATTTAGTTTTATTTTTAATAGTTTATTAGGATTCTGCTATGTTTTCGTTGACCCCATAAAATATTTTAAAATCCATCATTTACTTCAATTATTATTTACGTCACCTCATCATGAAAAGCTTTTTTTTCCTCCCCCTCTTTCTTTATAACCATTTGTTACGGTGCCATTATTTGCCTCCATGTTAATATGTCACATCTGAATATTTATCTTCCTTCTGTGTTCTTTGTTTAACTTTGGTCACTGCACTTTATCCATGTCTTGTGTTTTATTTATTTATTTATTTATTTATTTATTTATTTTGTGTATGTGTTTTTTGTTTTTCATTTCCCGGATGCATGTGTGCACGTGACAGAGTCGGAACCAGGAGCTGGCAGCCGCTCTGGAATCTAGCAAGCTAACAAATTCTCAGCTCAATACCAAGCTAGACCAGCTGGTAAGAAGCTGTGTGAATGCATAAATGCGTGTGTGCATTGATGTTAGCATTGATTTTTCTTCCACAGTTATTTGAGTCTGTCTGTGTGTTGCAATGGACTTTGCATGTCATCATAACCTGAATATTTTTGCATGTTTTTCCCCCTCTCATTTTCATTTGCTGCTCAGGTTAATTAACTTGTAATCTTCAAATGATAACCTCAGTTTGAGTGATGTTAAAGATTCATAAACTGTTTGCTGTAGCATGACTGTAAAAGCTTGTCAAGCAAGTTTAGCACACTAACCACAGAGAACTCGGAGCTTTAAAAAAAACACGACTTACAAAAGAGGTTTATTATTTCTGCCCGTTGCACAGGCGAGTTATGTCTGGCATGCAGATTAGGTTATTTCCAGAATTTTGTTATGTTTTATGGGATAACATTTTGTTATGGAATAGTGAAATTAATGTTATTATACCTAAATTTCCAATCTGTCTGTTACACAGGTACATCAAACTCAGGAACTCTCAGATCAGTTGCAAAAGGTTGGAAATTTTTCTCTCATTATTTCACAGCGTGTATATTTCTGTTTTACGTTATAATCTGCTGGACGTTCAGCTTCACCTTGCTAAATTTGAAACTTTCTGTTTCTCTGCCTTCAGGAGCGAAAAGAATTCGAACAGAAATACACAAAAGAGCAAGGAGCCATGCGGGAACAGTTGCAAGTAAAATCATCAGACTGATTTTTTTCTTCTTTCTTAATGTTACCTTTTATAAATGCAGTGTTGTCATAACAGAAAAACTAATAGAGTTTCACTGTATTGTCACAGAGTGTATCAATTTACATGTTGTGTCACCGTTACATAAATGAAAAGAAGTCTTTAGTTGTCAGCTTATCCATTACAAGTGTCCCAGTTGTTCACACAGCAAAGCACATCTGTTCAAATTCTGGATTATTTTAGCAAATTTAGTTTTCTATAGTGATCTGTTTTTAGTTTTCTTGTAATTGTTATATGGGACTTAAGATGTGATCAAATATTTAGTTTCATGAAGAAATTCCCTCTTTGTTCACTTGTCCTCTCCAAAGGTTCACATTCAGACTATTGGTATACTGGTGTCAGAGAAATCTGAGCTACAAACAGCACTACAATACACACAACAGGCCGCACGGCAGAAAACAGGTGTGTGTGTGTGTGTTTTGTCTGGTATTCTTTCCATTGCTTAGCTGTATGATTACGTGCTCATTATTATGTTTTTTCTTTTCTTTCTGACTACGTAGTTGAGGCAGAGGAGCTTAATAACCGTCTGCAAGCAACAAAGCAGAGAGTTTCAGAGCTGGAGCGAACGCTCTCTACTGTCTCAGCACAGCAGAAACAGTTTGAGAAGGTAACATACATTAAAATATCCCCTTAAGATACGGCTAATGCAGATGCAAAGTTCTATATAATAACAAATATACTGAATTTTATTTATTTTATATCAAACTTTATTCATTCCATAAAAACATAATTATATGTACAATAAAAAAGAAAATACAAATAAAATGAAATGAAAGGCGGCAGAGAGAAGAAAAAAATCTTATATCTGCCCCTTTTTTCCCCAAGTATAAATTCAAACTATAATAATCTTCAGTTAACAAAACAATAAGAATTTACACTTATCTCTATTCTCATAACTGACATGAAGAACCATTTACTTTTTATCTTATGTTTTTATATTATTTGTCGTGTCAGAAATCAAATTTTGTTTTGCAGCAAAACAAAGAACTTGAAAAGGAAAGAGACGGTTTGAGGCTAGAGATGTTTAGAGTCAAGTAAGTCATTTCACTTTGTTGTACTTGAAGAAATTGTGTATTTTTTTTATTTCTCAGCAAACCAGTTAAAATATGTATCTGCTTTGACTTCAAACCTGTCTTTTCTATCATATTATGTGGTATTTAATAAAGAATGTGCCGATGTCTTTAGTCAATAAATTGGAAATAATCTGTGTGTGTTTGCAGCAATTTGAGTGACGAGTCAAAGCAGCAAAGCTCAGAGCTGTCTGAGCAGTTAAAACTGAGGACACAAGATAACGCTGCAATGAGGCTGGAGCTAGACGATCTTCGCAAGAGGCTTGAGATAGCTGACCTCATGTTGCAACAGGTGTGTAAGGATATGTGCAAACATTTTCACAGGTCGAACTCAATTGAAGTTTGTTTTCTGTATGTTTGCAGTTGGCTAATTGTTGGAATTAGTTTTTGTTATTTGCATGTTTACATTTTATTCTAAAATAGTGTTTCTTTTGATTTCTTTAGTGTTCCAGTCAGTCAGATCCCACCAGTGCAAACCAGCAGGTCCAGTTACTGCTGGAACAGAAGCAACAGCTGGAAGTACAAAATCACCAGGTTGGTCTTTTTATTAGCATCTATTACTGCATGTAATGGTAAAAGCTCTGAGATGGAATTCAAGGTTGTAAACTTACAACCTGTATTTATTTTACATAAATGTCTGATTTTAACCCTAACAAAGCTCAATTGAAAAAGTTGACAGTGAAGAATTAGAAACTATTGAATCTATAACAGAGGTGAGAATATAGATTATATTACTGATCTGTCAGGTTTTTTCATTGTGAAACAGATTCTTTGTGTGGATGAGAGACTGTGTATAGCACCTAGTAAAACTTAGCAGAACTAAACAGTATGCACATATATGCAACTTTTCAGGGTGTGACTGAAGCACAGCATCTATAAAAAGAACAAAGACACAACTATTAACACAAGCTTATCTGTTATTAACTTGTTATTGTAGCTTATAGAGTCTATCACCCAGCTGAAGACAGAGAGAGACTGTTACGTGGAGCGGATCCAGGAGGAGGGCCGTGTGTGGAAGGACAAAACAGAGCAGCTGCTAACACAGGTGAAGATACATCAGCATAAACCATGCTTTACTAATGATCCGACAATAATTGTTTTTAATTGATGTGTCAATTTCTGTCCATCAAGGTCTCTTTGGTGGCGGAGGAAAGGGACAGAAACATCAACAGAGTCCAGGAACTGGAGGCCAGCATTGCAGAGTTGAAAAATGCTGCAGGTGAGCTGTGAACACAGACCTGCTGAAGTGCTGCTTCTAAGTTCTCAATATGTTTCAATAGTTTAGCATGAAAACTTTGTTCTATAGAAAGTAATACCTGCTTGACGCACTTATCAGATACAATATAAAGCAGAACGCTGGTTGAGAACTAAAACTGTAGCACATTTGATATATATCTCTTAAAATATTATTTAACCATAACTCTCTTTTTGTTGCTTTCAGCAATATTATCTGTGGAGAAAGAAACCCAAAGTGCCACAGAACCCAAGTCCTCAGAACCATCAGAGAGAGAGGTGGCTCTGCAGGAGGCCCTCAGTACTTTACAACAGGAGAAAGATGCTGTTACTGCACAGTTCCAATCACAGGTAGCCATTGAATTGTTTGGTTTAAACATATTAAAATATAAAAATAATAAATATCTTCCATCTTTCATTAGTCATTTGTTCCCAACATTTCAAAAGAAGCAAAAAAAAATTTTAATCAATGAATGTTTTATCGAGTGTTTTCAGTTTGGGGGCAGCATGATGACTTTAGTGGTTAGGACTGTTGCCTCACACATGCAGGTCCTGGGTTCAAGTCCAAAACGGTGTGTTTGTGTGGAGTTTGCATGCTCTCATCATGTTTGAGTGGGTTTTCTCTGGATACTCAGGTTTCCTCCCATGGTTCAAAATCATGCATGTTTAGATTGCCTTCAGGCTGGGGCCCTCCTTGAAAAGAGATCTGTGATTTGCCTGGTTAAATAAAGGGTTATGAATAAATGAATAATGTTCAATCCTCTTTAATATTTCCCCACAGCTCCGAGACAACGAGCAGCTCAGTCGCTTGTGTGCAGAGCAGGAGGCACGTCTGGGGGAGCTGGAGGGTCAGGTAGAGAACCAAGTCCAGGAGGCGGAGGACCGCCGGCGCATGTTGGAGGATGTTCAGTCAGACAAGGCCACAATAAGCCGGGCTCTCACCCAGAACCGAACACTGAAGGACCAGTTGGCTGAGCTGCAGAATGGCTTTGTCAAACTGGTGAGGAAATGTTTCTATTTTTGTTTTAATCTTCTAAGAACATTTATCTTTTTAAGTATTTAGATATGTCCTTGTTTCTACTAAAGCTCGCTGGATTATTATATAAATAACGTTCCTAAAGAGACATTTTCATGATAAAATGTATCATACTGTATCTTCCTTCATAATTACGTAGACTAATGAGAACATGGAGCTGACGACTGCCATCCAGTCAGAGCAACATGTTAAAAAGGAGCTGGCACGCAGGATGGGTGAACTGCAGGAGAACCTGCACAATGTCAAAGAGCAGGTGAGATGTTCAGCACAATACACTAAAATAAACTTTCCTGATATTTTTCTTGATGTACTTTTTGTGAGTTACTACAACATGTTTCAGTTATTTTTATTTACTCAGGTACCTATCCTATACGTATGATAATACGGTTATTTAAAAATCGTGGTTTGAAAACTCTACTTTTTGGTGTTGACATCCCTCTTCCTTTCATTGCCTCCAGCTGGAGCTGAAATGTCAGGAGATCCAGGGTCTTACAGAGCAGAGAGACCAGGTGGTGGCCCATCTGCAGCAGTATAGCAGCGCCTACCAAGCCCTGGTTTCAGAGAGGGAACAGCTCCACCAACAGTATCTGCAGCAGAGCCAGCTCATGGATCGGCTGCAGCACGATGAAAGTCACAGCCGTGCACAGCTGGATATCAGCTACAATCAGCTCAGACAAGCACAGGTATGTCTGGCACAAATAATACCTTTTATTGTCTGTGACCATTTATGACCACACTGTGAAATCCAAGTAGAAGAAAAACTCAGAAACAAAATCTGGAACTCTGCTCACAGACCACTGTTTCCACTGTATACATATATTTTAGTGTATGATAAAACTGTTTTAAATTAAGAGAGAGCGTTTTGTGTGATAGAATATTGCATGAATAAAGTTCAGAACAGGCTAACAAACCAACTTAACACCACTAACATTTATCATACTTACAAACTTGACATGTTTGGGTGAAATTTGACGATTTCTAAACAAAATAAGTCATCCCAAGAGTTTTTTTTTTTTTTTCTTTTTGAGTTTGGGTGGAGTTCACGTAATAACTTCATATTGGCTGTATGATTTCTGGAAAGGATCGATTTAAGTGACCATGTTAAGCTACATTAAAAGCTCTTTTAAACGTTCTAAAACAAACTCTCCCATTCTTTTATTGTAAAATAAGTGTGCTGTAAACTATAAGTAGCAGCTAGTTGGACCGATCCAAAGTGGATCAGAATGAAATCATCAAATGAGAGGATTTAACGAATGCTTAGTTCTTTGCATAAAATGTTAAAAAGCAGCTTAGATATTTTCTAAAATAAATTTAAATGGTTTAAAATAACGTTGACATGCATGTAACGAAAGGTATTCCTGTCTCATCTCCCCCTGGCACTAAGACACATCAGATGTTTTACAGCTGTTGTTTTATTTCTTTCTTTTTGCAGGAGCATTTGGAACAGTTAGTCAGAGACAATGAGCAGCTGAAGACTGAAGTAAAGGAGCTGCTCAACAGCTCAGCCCTCAAGGTCGAATCCAGAAACCAAGGTAGATGTTTACCTGTTAAAGTTCAATTATATCCCAACAAACAATTAAATGTTTTAACTGATAGAAAGCACTTCTTTAAAAAGTCATAGTTTTAAAATCTATACCTTCTAAAAGCACAGACCGTATAAAACAAGGCAGCCTAATTACAAACAAATTAGCTTAAACAGTTATCTAGGATGTTACGATATATTCAGGTGTATTGATTGTTTTATTTTCTTGTATAATTTAGGAGATGGAGTGGAAAACCAGTCAGTGCAAGAAAGTCCTCCAGTGTCGTCCTCCATTGTCATTCCAGAAGACTTCGAGAGCCAGAAAGAAATGGTAAAGAGAGTGATGAATGTTATTGTTCCCAAACTGTTCATATGCAGAAAATTTATTTTCTGTGTTTATCAAGATTACACTTTTTGAAGTAGCCAGTTTCAAGGTGACCCTTTTTTGATTTTGAATCATGAAAATATAAATTTACTATTTTACCATCTTTAAAGTTACTTTAACTGCAAACGTTAGAAAATATTAAAAGAAAAACATATTAGTCTATTTCTAGTCAAAATATTTGAATAACGACAATGAAAAAATGTTGTAGATGCTTGGAAATTTATTATTTACAATTTAAAGAATTATGTCATGGGTTCATAAGTTCAACTAAATCTCTGCATGGAGTTGATTCAGGCTGACTCAGCATTACTCACCCGAGTTAGCCGTGTCATGTGTACCATCACACAGTTTTAATCAACTCTTCTCCGTCCACTAACAGGAGGATTTTATCCGTGGTGCTTTGGCTCAGTTAGAAGCTGAAAGAGACGAGGTCAGGCGGCAGCTGGACGAGGAGCGCCGGCTCCACATGGCAGCCCGCCAACAGGCCGCTGTGGCCCTCAGACTTGAGCAGCAACATCTCAACTACAAACCTGTGCATGAAAATGACCAGGAGCTCCATCAGAGTCAGTGCCAACACAGTCACGACCATTCAGGTGAGAAAACAAAAAATGGTGACCAAGTTTGTGTGACTACTTTTTTATGTTCTCTGATACTATCTCCTGTGTAAAATTGTAATATTCTCTGTGCAATTCAGATGGAGGAGTGCCAGTAGAAGTACATCAGGCCCTGCAAGCTGCAATGGAGAAGCTCCAGGTGCGTTTCACCTCCCTCATGCAGGAGAAAGCTGATCTGAAGGAGCGAGTGGAGGAACTGGAGCACCGCTGCATCCAGTTATCAGGAGAGACCGACACTATAGGTCAGACAGAATGATGTCATCGTGCCGTTTTAGTTTCTAAAGATCTAAAATTAATCATCGTTACAGATAGATTTTTGAAAGCATTATTTCTGTAGTGGATTTGGTTCTGATGATGTCTGTTTCTGTTTTAGGGGAGTACATTGCTCTGTACCAGAGTCAGCGGGCCATCATGAAGCAGAAACACTTAGAGAAAGAGCAATATATTAACATGCTGGCACAGGACAAGGAGGAGATGAAGGTAATTTAAAACCTGCAAACATTTTTCTAGATATTTTATTTTTTACAGTTTGTTTTGGAACTGTTAGAATCCACAGTCTAACAGTGTTGGATGTGACTTTACTGTATTTTTTTATGTATAGGAATAATTTTTATCATGGCACATAAGTGTCAGTCACTGTGTGGTTTTAATAAGTACAATTAAAGTGCAAACCAAATTAAGATCAATAAATGCTTTTCTAAAGTAAACAAAGATACAAAATGTGTACTTTAAACCTCCACAGTATGATAGGTGTTCTGTCTTCAGACAGTGTGGAGTTTATTCAACAGATTAACTTTTTTTGTTGCGTGCTACACATTCAGTCTGTCATCACTGATTATTTTAACAAAAGAACTGTTTTGTGTTAAACCGACTTGGTTTCTTGTCCTTGCTTTGTCACTTTTATCTCCACCGTTCATCAGGCCAAACTGGCTGAGCTGCAGGATCTGGTCATGAGGCTGGTGGCTGAGAGGAACGACTGGTACAACCGCTACGCTGGAGCCGTAGCCGGAACGGCAGCAGCAAATCCGGACCTACTTCCTGTCGGGGAGGAGCACGCTCACTCACAGCATGAAGGACATAAACAAGCTGATCCTAATGCCGTCAGCGGAGAGGGTAAGCACAAGAATACAAATCATAAAACAAGATTTCTGCAGTTTTTGTTCTAGTTATTGGTCAAATAATGAACAAAATACTTAACAGTAAATTAGTATGAAGATAAAAACAAACTAGTTTGGTTCAGTTTAAAGTTAATGTATGTTTCCTGCTCCAATTGTTTTGTTTATTTCAGAAGCAATGGAGGTCAACTCTCTGTCCGAGCCACACCAAGCTTTGGAAGCCGCCTCATCCCAGACGTTACCGTCTGGATCTCCTCAGACTGAACCCAAACTCCTGGTGCCCAAAGAGGACGGCACGGCACGGCAAATCATGCAGCTCCTCCAGGAGATCCAGAACCCGCAGGGAGCTCAACGATCGGCACCTTTCCTGGGAGAGAACCCCTGCATCCCGTTCTTTTACCGGCCTGATGAACAGGACGAAGTGAAGATCCTGGTGGTGTGAGCTTATGTGTCTGAGACATGATGGAAACGTCCGGGGATGTGGGAACGTTGGGAACCACATTTGTAGCTTATTGATCATATTTACAAACACTTACTATGAAAATTGACAACTTAAAACTGGTCAAAGATGCAAATATCTTTGACCAGTTGATTTGAAATGCCCCCCTTTTTGTTCTACGTGTTTGCTTTTGTTATAGATGGACGATAATCAATATTCTTAAATGCAATTTGATTACTCTGATTATTACACTTTTTAAATTTCTGTTCCCTTCTTGCCACCCGTCTCACACTAATGTGCAATAAAGGTACTGTAAACCCAGGCCCTCAGCTGGAACAGTACCTAAAAAAGCTGTCCAATTTTTCTGCAATTATTGTTTTTTTTTTTTTGTTACAAATGTCAGTTTTAATTTTACAGTACACATGCCAAAAACACAGCATCGCGTTTGAATGTAACAACCCAGATATTTACCTGTACGTAAAATGTGAAGAGAAGGGTGGGTCGGTAAAGATGAGTCGGAAACAAAATTTGTTGCACGGAAAGCTTTTAAACTTTAAGCGTTGAAGTCTTGAGCTCGCTACGTTACAGTCAAGTCCAAGGAGAGGAACGCGTGTTGCTGATTGGTACTTTTTTCAAATACTACCTTCTGTTTTCTTTTTATAGTTTTCTGTCAAACACTGAAAATAACTCAAGTTTGTACATCGCCTAATGTCAATAGTTGTGAAGTATTTTTGCGTCATGGTGTTTTAAACGTCTTGTTAGGCTGAGAAACATCAGCATCATTACAAACGGGTGCTTGATCAGATCAAATAAGGGCATAGATGCAATTTAAATACCCCGTGAAGTTAAAAAAATGAAAGTTATGAAGGCATGATGGGCATTTCTTCCAGTGTGTCGTTCCCATCCTGGGTTTCAGCGCTGCAGGCCTCATTGTTTCTTCAATATGTCCCGCTTAGGCTTTTCCTTTGGAGCTCCTGACTGATCTCACCATTCCAGTCACATTTATTGTTCATAAGTAGTTTCAACGAGAACTGGACTTTTTATTCCTCGAGGTCTTCAACTTCATAAACAAATTGACATTATTACTAAGAGCCTGTTCTTTTCTGTTACGTTTACAGCTAGTTCTTCATATCGAAAGATGGATTATTACACAAACTGGATGTGTGTGGGTGTGTGGTGCTTTGAAATTCAGATACTTTATTTAGCCAAAATATTTGCATCTTTTGTACCTTTTTTTTTGTCTGTCAGGATGTAGAAGTATGATTGCACTAAAACTGTACAGAACTCCTCATTCAGCGTTGTCCCATCCGGCTGTTTGGACCGAGATGTTTGACGGGAGACAAGAGAAATCCTATGAAGCTTCAAAGCTGAGGATTCTTCTGAATTTACCTGAAAGATTGATACCTTGGGATGAGCAGAGTGTAAAAAATAGGAAGAAAAAGTACAATTAACAGTACTGCTATCTTAAAAAAAATTTTTTTTTTCTATAGGTGAGGGACCAGTCAGGCTTTGAGAAAAATATTTAAGCAACTCAAATTTGCTATAATCACATCCAGAAATAATTATCTAGGTTTTTGGGGCATTAAAAAAAAGAGAATCTCAAGATCAGAATTGGTTATTTTTGAGCAAAATTAAAGCTTGTAAGTGCTCATAGTCATAAATGTAGATTGGAGAACATTGATTCAGATCAGATTCTTGTTTCCTTTGACAGCTAAGAGACTTTTTGCAAGTATTGTTTTGCTTATTTTGAATGTCTGAACTTGATATCTTTTTTTGCTCATTTCCTAAACTCTAAAATTGCAATCTTATTATCTATCACTAGAAAAAGCCATCGTAAGTTGGTCCAGTCGTATTTAAAAAGCAAAATGTTTCTAAAGAATATAAAACGTGTATTTGCCAGACTTGCTGAGTGGTGTTTGCAGGGAAAGTAAAGAGCATTGACCCTAAACCAGGTGGTTTCTGGGTAATTTTATTCTCATTCTTTCCTTATTCTGCCTTTTTTTTTATATCAAATCTCATTTAATTTTTATTTCACTTTTTTGGGAGTGGTCAATTTCATGAAGTAAATTAAATCTATCTGGGCTGTGTGAAATAAACGTGGATAAATGAATTTCAGATGCTTTCTGCTTAATAAGTGTAATTAAAGAAGCGTTTATGTCTTTACTGTAAAGGAGGAAGTGTAAATACTGTAACTGTGTAACATATTGTACATTATGCCTGATGTGTGTTGGTGTAGGAGCTGAATTTGCCACGTTTACTGGCATTGTGTGTTTGTCTAAATGCAGAGTTCCACTGTTGATGGTTACTGACGGGCTGCAATTTAATACAAAGATGGACAGAAAAAAAGAGAAAATATTCTATTTATTTGGACTAAGTTAGTATCTCAACTAATCAGTTTTAATATAAACTTGAAGTGAGTGTTGGGTGGGAATGAAGGATCACTGAGTGACCTGATTTGAGTGCTGCTCTGACTTTTTTTTTTTTTCCCTTGAGTCAAAATTTCTCCCCTTCTGAATAAAATTGATTTAGCAACATAAGCAGTATGTCTTCTTTAACTCTCCATTGCAGTTGTTTATTAAAATGAACAGGTGTTTAGCAGACAACACACTTCAACAGATTAACATGCTGATTAGCTGCTTTCACAAAATAATTTTAAAAATCCATACGGTCAGAGCCGGCTCTTGGCATTGGCGAACTAGGCGGTCGCCTAGAGCGCCATCTGCTGGAGGGGGCGCCGAACTGCAGAAGAAAAAAATTATTTGTAATCCCTGGTTGTAACTCTGCTCAGTGCCTCTTTCAGTTAGCTTTGTCTTAAAAAACTATAATGAAGTATTACAGGAAAAATAAACTACTCTACCCATAAAACACCGCAAACGCCCCCACCCTCTCATTTGTTTGACGTTGCACTGACTCATCCTGCTCCGACACTCTGACGGGGGAGGGGCTAGTAGTGCCTCTCAGGTAGCGGTTCATGTTGACAAACTCAATAAGTCTGTATTTTGTTGTCCCATACATGTCAACCTCTTCGCACGTTTACCTGTATAAAAAGCCTCAAAAATCCGTAAATTTTGCAAAAAAAATCCATACAACTCCCACCAGGGGACGGAGGGAGGGGAGAGCAAATAAATCTTAAGTTTTCCATAGTACTTTACACTGTCAAACTTGTTTTTAGGGTTTAAAATTGGGGTGGTTGGAACATAGTTTGGGGTGGGGGTTGCGCTTCAACTCGCCTAGGGCACCAAAATGGCTAGAGCCAGCACTGCATCCAGTGGTTAATGAGATATTTGTTGTCCGCCTTTGCTTTTCAAAATTGATCAAATTTGTACTTTGTTTGAAACATGCATTTGCTAAGGAACTGCATGTTTAAGTCACTAAATGACCATGGGATTGGAATCCTTTTAATTGTTAAAGTCAGACTTTAAGCTTACCAAGGCATTTGTGCACAAAGTAAAGACAATAAGGCAGGGGTGTCTAATCCTGGACCTGGGGGGCCATGATCCTGCATGTTTTTTATGTTTCCCTGCTCAGTGATTGAATTACCTCTAAGTTCTGCACAAGCCTGTTAATCACCCATTCAAATTAGGTGTGTTGGAGCAGAAAAAGCTCTAAAACCTGCAGGCTAGTGGCCCACCAGTTCCAGGATTGAACACCCCCTGCTATAAGGATATGGTTGAATGACTTCCTGGTCCACTCAAAGCTCTGACCTCAGCTCTATCAGGCACCTTTGAGATGGTCAGAGTTTGCAAGCCAGGTCTTCTTGTCCAACATCACAGCTTAATCTCATAATGCTGTACATAGAAACACTAAAACATCATTGACTAACTTTTTTTTAACGAATGTCTAATTAAAATAAAAGAAATCATACTCATTCCAGTACTCAGAGGTGTTTAATGTGTTGGGAGAGTACAGTTACACTCGTCAAAAACAAAAAGAGCACCCTCCCTGTTTCCAGCAAAGTTATTCAACAACCTGACGTTTTATCCTCTTATTGTTGCTAAATATTCTATAGTTGATGATTTAAACATTCTGCTGTTTTATATGTTGCAGACTAAAGTTTCTAAACAGGGAGAGTACAAGTCCAATAAAATGCACCACATATACAGAAGAACGCCATAAAATATGTCCATAATCAACTAAATATTAATAAATAACGAGGAGGATGTGCTTCACAGGGCGGAGTGTTCCATAAATGACTGGACTGAGGATCCGGTATGTGATTTTTGTGTGTGAGGGAAAAAATACAACACATATACACTGAGGGTGAAGTTCAGCAGTAAGAAAAAAAAAGGATGGGAAGGTGGGTATGAATTCAACAACGTGAGGGCTCAACACAAGGTTTGATGCACAGACTGTGACCTTTCGTGTTCTCACTCACCCCCGTGACCACTGAGAGAAGGGAGGATGAAAAGAAAAAGAACAAAAAGAAGTAAATGTTTCCCTGTTTTTATACCAAAGTGTTTGATACACAATCAGCCCTGACTTAAGGCTAGCCTTTTATTTCCTGTTACTATCTGAATAAAAACGACGACTAACAGTCTTAAAGAGCAACTCAGGCCACAAAGTGGTTCCCTGTCTGGTTTATTGATGTCCTGATTCTTCTCTGATTGATGTTTCACTACATTTAGACCTCGCCGCCACAAGATAATAATGATTCCTGCAAAAGGAGAAAAGCACAGGGAACAGACAGTTTTTTCCTCTTTCTCTTTGTTGCATAGGTTATCTGAAAGCACAAACAGACGTTTCAGGAGATGCTTTTTAAAGGGGCGGGGAGTTCTCGAAGAGAGCTGAAAAGGCTCTTGACTTTCTGAGGAGAGAGGGACGTGAAGGAAAGATGAGCAGAAGCAGCCCTTGTCTGTTCAGGCGTCCTGAGCCGGAGAGTGTGGAGGAGGCGGTCCATCCTTCCCTCACTTCTTCTCAGCCCTCCTCCATCAGCTGAGTGAAAGAGTGAGCGGTGGGTGAATTAATGTTTTAGGTTTAAAGAGACCAAAGGGAGGTTCTTCTAAGAGTCGAATGGCGGCAGGGGGCTCTCCGTACGAGAGGGACCCTTATTGTGACCCATTACATCGAAATGAGGATTAAGTCAAATTTGGTCAAAATGACCTGATCATATTTTCAGATTCCTGGCTTTAAAAGCTACATTTTGATACTTAGATCATCCTGATATTCTAAGTAGATCCAGAGATATTATCAGTGCACATTGCCAATGCAATGCACACTATTGTGATTCGTTTCCCATCCAAATCATCTCAACTTTGCCATGCTTCTCCTCCTGCATACTTTGTCCTAGAGCTGCCATTGTAATTTATATCTGTAAAGCTCCTGTGCCAAATGATGGCTATTCCTTTTGGTGCCTGTAAAACTTATAGTTTATGAAATATTAATGTTTAATGAATTATAATGGCAGTCAATGGAGCCTTGTATTGGTCCAATACTGTCCCATGCTGTACTCAACTTGGTACTGCACCATAGTTTAATATTTCAACTCAGTAGTTCAGTGTTTACAGTACTAATATGATTGTATTTTGATGTTTTACTATAATATTGTCTTAATATTGCTCGATTGTAATATTATGCATTTGTGTGTCAATAATTGTATTGGCAATGTGGCCTCTTTCTGCACACATACAAACCAACCCCTGCCACCATTTACTGCCACAGTTCTATTGGTCTAATGGTCTATGTCATGGACTTACATGTGGGAGATCAGGGTTCAAAACCCAGCAAATGCAACTTTAACAAAAAAATCTCTTCAAATTTCATGGTGTCACACAATTACCTTAATTACAAACACCTGCTGACGTGACARRHRCAAGCTGGTATAGAAAACACATTTGAACTTGGTCAAAGTTCATTCTGCAAGTCCAATGCTGCAGGCAAAGCCATGCTACATGGCAATGCACACTTGTTTTTACATCGTAAAAACCCATGTCTAGTTTAATTTGTCTTGTTGGTTACAATAATACATAAATATTTGATCTAAATCCTAATTTTATGTAATTTTAATGAGGATTTATTTTAGGTCATTTTAAAAAAGAAATGCAAATAGAATTTGAATATTGCTATTTCCCAGCTGGAAAGAAGCAAAAACATTGCAAGCTCACAGGGAAAATCTCAACATTTTAAGGCGTTTTTCCTCAAAATCTGGTTTTTGTTTGCTAATGTTCAAAAAAGTGCTTCAAAATTTTTTTGTTTGGATAATATTTCAGACAATTCAAAGAAATTATACATTGATAACACATTTATTTGTTATATTTTGACAAAATGTAATTTTTGCAAGTGTTTTAATCAAAACACTATCTCCACATACAACTTTTAGACTTAATCCTCATTTCGATGTGATGGCTCACTTGGCCTGAAGTTTTAAAGGAAAATAAAACCCTATTTGGCAGGAAATGCATAAAAAAAAAACCCGAAATCATGCAAGCGATGAACACAAAATCTATAAATCTAAGTTCTAAGCAGCTTTTAGGGGTCCTCGCTTATGATTTTTTTGCGAGGGGTTGAGCACAATTACAAACCCAAACCTGGAAACAATAATGAAGAAACAAAACATACACAAAACGTCAGTGATTATCCAGATCAATTCAGTTTGCATCACCTTTCTTAAATAAATACTTCACATATAGTTTAGAAATGTTCCTTTTTTTCCTGAACCTGAAATGCTGCAAACAGGGGGAAAAAATAACATTTACTTTGCTTTGCTTTTTCACAAAAAAGCAGAGATGCCTTCAAGTTTTTTCTCATCTCAAAACATGCAGGAAGCTCCCTGTACCTCCATAAGAAGTAATTCCAAATCCCTGTTATACATTAACTTGATACACTGCAGTACTAAGACCTTATAAACTTAAGTGTTTACTTTGTGCTATTAATTTATTACCAAGTGCAATTCCTTTGTGATATGTTTTTCCTCAACATAACAGAAGTCGTATTTTCAGGTGAAGTATTTCTTTTAAAAGATGACTGATTAAAGCAGAAAGAAAAAGAAATTAAGTGAAGCATCATGGTGAATTTGTAGATATTTACCTCCCTTAGTTTAAAAGAATCAATCTGCAGTAAGTCTGCTTGGGTATACTGGTTCATTAGAATTTAATAAATGGTCTCTACAGTGAAATTTGTCATGCAAGTGCATTTCAAGTATTCTGCATTTCGGCGTAAACAGGAATGAGAGCTGGGAGGTGAGGGGAGCTTGAGGCGTGGATTAAAAGAGTTTGTTAATGAAGAGGAGAGGAGGACGGGAGGGGAGCCCGTGGAGGTCAGACGAGGCAGGAGGTGGCAGCAAGGTGGCGCTGTTTGTCTGCAGAAGCCTCATCCAGAGGAGGGCGAGACAGACGGAGGAGGAGGTGGGAGAGGAAGGCGCTCGGAGGCCTAGTGGGTTGGAGAAGGTGGGGGTCTCCGACTGGCGTGAACACACAAGGAGAGACACACAGAGGAGAAAAGGGGCAGGATTAGTCTTTTAAAAGTGCTCATATGTACTGATGTTTGTGTCACTATTGATGATCCATATTAGAAGTTTCAGGTCCTCCGTGAATCATGACACATACACTGACCCACACGAGGATTCATTTGCGCGAAAATACACACGGATGAAACCCAGAAACACGACCAACATCTCAGTTAGATGAAGATGTTGTAACTGCAGCTGGTGTTGAAATGCTTTCACAAGCATTGAGATAAACTATGAAGCTCTTTTGTATTGTTTCTGCAAACAACAGAGATGTGCTTAACAGATGAGATATCAGGGGAAATACACAACATACATGATATTTTAAACAGTTCAATTCTATTTAACTAGTTGTTTCCATTGGGATAAATCTGTTCCCCCCCACTTCCTGCTGCCTAGGTTTGACATAAATTATTCAACTCCACAAAGCCCATGCAGTGCTCTGAGTGGAGACGTGAACAGCAAAGGGGGGCGGGGCAAAACAGGAAGTGACATGCAGCCAAAAGACGCCCTCTGGGATGTCTTTCAGGCTTACGATCATGATAAAGATGGCAGATATTTCCCAACATACCCGACGTGTTAGTTAGTCCTCAGCAGCCAGGGACAGTGATTCTGCAGAGGGAACCACAGTCGTTTGTGTATGTGTGTGACAAAGGTGTGGTGAAGAAGAGAGAGGCGAAAACGGAGCAGGAGGACAGGAAAAAGAAGTGCAGACGGTAACAGTTAGGATCCACCAACGTCGCACGTGCTCGGCTCTCCTTCAGGACACACATGGGTGCAGGGCGATGATACGGATCGAATAAAATCCATGTTCTAACAGCCGTCTTAAAAATGCTCATTTAATTAATTTATTTGTTTATTTGCTTTTTGTTCCGGTGAGAGCTCAGCTCAGAGACGTTGGTGTCCACAAAACAAGCTGCTATTCTCACAACCAGTTAGAGAAGGTAACTAACTGACGGACAGGCAGGCAGAGACACGTGTCAGTCATGACGAGCTGCAGTGAGGGTGGGTGTTAAGGGTGAACTGTGAGCACGCTGCTGCAGGAGAGGAGAGTGTGTGCTGAAAGGTTAGTACAGAGAGAAACTAAAGTCATTACAATAAGTGATTGTTTTTGTTTGTTTTTGCACCTCATAAGAACCACTAGCTGTTAGTCTAATCATCTACCCTCTACGACAACTAGCTCTAATTTCATTTACCTCCTTTTTCCCCTCATCCGAGCATCTTCACACCCCCCTAACATCAAAGTATCATAAAAATGCTTTAACCGTCTAATTTATTAACGATAAAACATTTGTTTGGCAGGTTTAAAGACAGCGTCTTAGGTTTATAAAAGTCTCTCATGTGCCTTTTCTTTGGTCCTCACCTGGGCACACTAGGGGGTGCACGATTAGGTCTGGAGGGCACAGTGGGAGGCGGCCCACCGTGTGGGTCGGGAGAAGCTCCGGGACGAGATGGGACTGGCGGTCCCCCGGCAGGGGGAGGCCCGGGTGGAGGTCCACGAGAACCTGGGCGGGCTGGGGGACCCGGAGGAGCCCTGCGGTTTGGTGTGGGACTGGTTGCAGGAGATCTGACCAAAGAAACAGCAGGAGAAGAAAGGAAGGACCAAAAATAAATGTTAGAGAAGGCCCATTATTAGCTAGCTGGCAAGAGCACAAATGGTCAAATTAAGATTAGAATAACAAATACTGTCCTGAAAATTGGACTGCGTTGACACTCCAGACTAAGACTAACCAGTAGATGGATGGATGGATGGATGGATGGATGGATGGATGGATGGATGGATGGATGGATGGATGGATGGATGGATGGATGGATGGATGGATGGA